TTAGAGAGTACCTTCGTGAATGAAGATAAAAAGTCATTTATGTTATTTTTTAAAAGCCAAGACATAATATTGTTAATCCTCATACTATTTACTAAAAAACTTTATAAATATTGTTACGATGTTATAATTCAAGTTGTTGTAATTAGTAATTTTGATCATTTCATTATTATACTGTAAAAAATATTTTTTATTTATAACATTTATTTCACATATATTAAAAACGTGAGGAATAAATATTACACTGAGGAAAATTTTAAGCAAAACATAGAATTTTTAAATGTTATTAGAATATCAATATGTAATATTTTTGTTTTATTTATTGACTACATCTGTAAACTGTGCAATAATTTCAAAATGATGAATTAATTGAATTCCATGATTCCTTTACGCATTTGTACAGATTTATTTCAATATAACGCTAAATATTGCTCTGGTAACGTTCAGCAGCTTTTTTAGATTTTTTTTCTTGATAATCATAAGACATTTTCATGAAATCAGCGCATTTGTTTGCCCCCATATCATAATGGTAGATATTTTTGCTTTTAATTACGCAATGATCGCGTGGTTTTTTCGCCGCAAGAATATATATATATGAATTTATATATATATAATATATATATATATATATATATATATATATATATATATATATATATATATATATATATATATATATATATATATATATATTTATATATATATATATATTTATTACAGGTTTGTAATCTGTACAATAGAAAAAAAAAAAAAAAAAATTTAGTTGTTTTGTATTTGGATTACTTTTTAATATTTTAGTACTACAAAAAATATATATTTATATATAAATATATATAATATATTTATTATATATATTTTTAATTAAAGCTGATAGAATATATGAAGCTGATAACCGAACTACTAAACTGTTAAACTGATACTACTAATAGTAGTATCAGTTTAGTTGTTCAGTTTCATATATCATATCAGCTTCAATTAAAAGTATATATAATAACAATATTATATGCACAGTCAGGTCAGGTTATCCTTATGTCAAGTCAGGTTATCCTGCTACTAATAACATGTAATCCAGTACAACATGCCTCATGTTAACATCAGGAAGGGCATTCAGTTGTAAAACAGTGCTTCAACTGTTTCATAACGGCATTTATGTCATTTTAAAGAACACTCCTAACCACACTAGTGTGGAAATATGGATATAACAATTACCAAAAAAATATATGTATATATATAAATATATAAAATTATAAATCATATTATATATATATATATATATATATATATATATATATATATATATATATATATATATATATATATATATATATATATATATATATATAATATATATATATATATATATATATATATATATATATATATATGTATATATATATATATATATATATATATATATATATATATATATATATATATATATATATATATATTTATATATATATATATATATATATATATATATATATATATATATATATATATATATATATATATATATATATATATATATATATATATATATATATATATATATATATATATATGTATGTATGTATAATCAAACTATTATATATAATAGTTTCACACAAACAAATTGATTATTTTTATGTAAATATTTAGTGTGTGATTGATTTTGTAGTCCTTGTGATATTGAGTGCTGAATAGAACCCTTTGGATCCAAATTGGTGAAAAACTTTTCAAGCAAATAATCTTAAGGTAAACCATTACTGTAAAAAATAAATAATTTCATTTTTTTATTTTGTTTGCTGTTTGCTGAAAGTTATGCTACTTTTAGGCAGTTTTAGCAATGAGTTACTGGACAAAAAGAAGAAAGATTCGAGGCGAAATGCAACATATTTTAACTGAAATAATTGACACTGAAAAGCGTAATAATAATGTTAGAGAGAAATGGGCTACAGCAAGCTTATCACCTCAATTGTCTGAAACATTAGTGGTTCCGGTTACTAAATTAAGCAGCCAAACTCCTTTATTCAACCCTTTATTTAACATTTGCAGTGAGACATCAGAGAATTTTGCATCACCTTTGGGTGATGTTGATGAATATGACGAAGTTGAAAATGCCATTATGAGCGATTCTGAATCTGACCAAAGCTCTCAGTTCAGTATGATGTAAGAACTTGTAACAGATTTGGCATCATGGTCATGTTCTTTTAATATTACACTTACTGCGTTAGCTGCTTTGCTGACTATTTTATGAAAAATTTGCCCTGATTTGCCAAAAAGTCCAAAAACAGTAATGCAGTCTGAAATCTACAAGAAAGAGGTACGTGCCAGTTCATATTGTTATTTTGGCATAAAGCAAGGGATTGTTAATAGATTGTCACAGTTAGTTGCTAAAGGTACGACAGTGAATCAGATAATTATGTTACAATTCAATATTGATGGATTGCCATTATTTAAAAGTTCAAAGAGACAGTTGTGGCCAACTCTGTGTTTAATGGAACATTTTGATGGTGTGGTTTAAACAAATAGGGAGCCGTTTACAGTTGCATTATACTGTGGAAATAGCAAGCCGACTGATATTAATGCATTTTTGAAAGACTTTGTTGAGGAAATAAAAGACCTTCAGGAAACAGGAATCATATTTAACAATGTGTGTTATGAAATAAAAATTTCTGCTCTGGTTTGTGACACCCCAGCGCGAGCTTTTATTAAATGTATTAAGGGTCACAGTGCATATCATGGATGTGATTAATGTGTACAACATGGTTTTTATGCCGGGCGTACAACTTTTCCGGAAACAGCAGCAGCTCTTAGAACAGACTCATCATTTCTAGAAATGAAAGATCAGAAACATCATTATGGAAAAAGCCCACTTGTTGCTATTCCGTCAATAGGAATGATATCACAGGTACCTGCAGACTACGTGCATTTAGTTTGTCTTGGCGTAATAAAGAAAATGGTTTTTATGTGGCTCAAGGGACCTTTAGCCACCAGACTTGGCCCATGTGTAGTCAAAGATCTATCAGAAAAATTGTTTGACATGAGACCTTACATTCCATCGGAATTTGCGCGTAAGCCACGGCCATTTCATGAATTTGAACGTTGGAAAGCAACAGAATTTAGGCAACTATTGCCTTATACAGGCATGGTTTGCTTTGATGGGATTCTTTCACCTCCACTCTATAATAACTTTATGCATTTATCTGTTGCTATGAGCATCTTGCTAAGTGAATTTCTATGCAAGAAATATGCTTCGTATGCGCATAGTTTGTTATTGCTATTTGTAGAGCATGTCTCGGAGGTTTATGGCAAAGAAGTTATTACATATAATATGCATGGGCTGGTACATTTGTCAAATGATGCCAAAAAATTTGGTCCTCTGGACAATATTTCATCATTTCCATTTGAGAATTATTTATCTCAGTTAAAGAAACTCGTTCGGAAGCCTCACTTGCCTTTGCAGCAAATAGTTCGAAGACTTGGTGAGAAGAGAGCAATTCAACAAAAACAAAAAAACGAAAGTGAGCATAATAGTACATACTTTAAGAAGGAGCATTATAATGGGCCAGTCGTCAAATCGTTGAAAGTATGTGCTCAGTACAAGGAATTGTTTACCAAGCGTTGGTGCATAAAAATTACAGATGGAGATAACTGTTTTAGCTTGAACAATGGCAAAGTAATTATTGTGCAGAATATTGTAAAAACAGCTGAGCAGTCCTTTATTTTGTATAAACAGTTTAAAAAACTTGAAGATTTTTTTACATACCCATGCTGTTCTATGAAGGTGAATACTTTTAAAGTTTCTTGCTTGGAAAACGAATTGCTATACTGTTCACCAACAGAAATTAAAAGAAAATATGTTCGCCTACCAATTGATAATGATTATGCTGTCATTCCTATGATGCAATTTTAACATTTGTGCAATGAAATTTTGTTCAATCGAAAAAAAATGTTTTTAAATGATTTGAGCATTTATTATTATATTCAAAACAAAATCAATGTGTTCAAGTAAACAAATTAATGCAATAATTTTATTAGAATAAATAATTAAAATCTATGTAATGTTGAATATTGTTTTTAGATATTATAATTATAATCAATTAATCATATAAAGTGCAAGTAATGCTATTTTCAGTTATAAATCATAAGTGCAAGTAATAAAAGTTTTTAGGTATATAAATAATAGGTGCAAGTAATAACTGCTTTTAGACAAATCAGACATATATATATATATATATATATATATATATATATATATATATATATATATATATATGTATATATATATATATATATATATATATATATATATATATATATATATATATATATTTATATATATATATATATATATATATATATATATATATATATAAAACCACCCTATATATTATTATTATATATATATATATATATATATATATATATATATATATATATATATATATATATATATATATATATATATATATACATATATTTATATATATATATATATATATATATATATATATATATATATATAAATATATATATATATATATATATATACATATATATATATATATATATATATATATATATATATATATATATATATATATATATATATATATATATATATATATATATATATATATATATATATATATATATATATATGTATATATATATATATATATATATATATATCATTGCATTATAGCTTGTTTAACACTTAAATTGTATTTTATTGCAACAAATAATGTTTAATGTGTTTGTTCTAATAAATTCTAAATGAATGTGATGTCTGAAAATACTTAAATAGTATTTCAATTATTTGAACTTTCTGGAATTTTATTCTAGTATAAAATATTTTTTTATTTCCTTATTTTTGACTACCTAAAATGAGTATTCTAAGTACTTCAATTTTATGAACTTGTGGAATTACCTTATTACAGCATAACATTTTTAAATGTTTTTTTACTTCCTTATATTTGACTTTATAAAATGAGTATTCTAAGTACTTCATTTATATGAACTTGTGGAATTACTTTATTACAACATAAAATATTTTATTGTTTTTTTACTTCCTTATTTTTGACTGTATAAAATGAGAATTTTTAAATAACAGAAGAAAAATATTGAGAAAGGTTTTACTTAAAAGTAAGTCTTATTTTTCTTTTCAGCTTTTATTTACTGTTTATATATATATATATATATATATATATATATATATATATATATATATATATATATATATATATATATATATATATATATATATATATATATATATAAATATATATATGCATATATATATATACATATATAGGTACACATTTATATATATAATATATATATATATATATATAAATATATATATATATATATATATATATATATATATATATACATATATATATATATATATATATATATATATATATATATATATATATATATATATATATATATATATATATATATATATACATACATATAAAATACTATATTATGTTGTAGGTATATTATAATTGAATTTGTAACAGATTTATTATAATGTTCTGCAATTTCAGGATGTCTATGGAAAAGTATGTTATTGTTGCCTTCTTGGAGAAGGATGATGCAGTTGCAGTTGTGCCTGCAGCTTGGCTGATCAACAGCAAGTTGTGTTATTGGCCTCCATATACCAGTCAAGACAGAAAAAATAAAGCGGCAATAAATTGTGAAATACCATCTGAAAAATGGTCTAAACATTCTTGTCGAATTTTAGGGACCAAAGGCAAGTTTTATATGTTTTATTATAATATCATTGACATTGACATTATAATAAAAGGATGCAAACATAAATTGGTATTGTTCACAAATGTCAAATATATATTACTGACACATTGATATATTAGTTTCCTAAATATTAAATTTGACTTGACTTGTTTTATGTTTCTAGATATGTTTGTTTTCATTTTCTGAGTTAAATAAAATGATTAATATATCAGCAGGATTCAAAATCAACATTTTGTTTAAAGTCTACTACAATTTTTATCACAGATTCGTATGCAAAGGCCAGATCTGAACTTGGTAAAGCTGAGATAACATCAGATTTACAGAGTGATGTAGATGTTTCAAGACTACGTACAAAACGGTAAATTCAAGTATTATATAGAGTAAAATAATTTATTATATAAAGTAATATTAATTAATTAAACGAAATAGTTATTGTGTTAAAAAACAAATAGTGCACTGAAATTTCTACGTATATAAATATATTGCACTTAATGTAATTTATTATTCCTTTTTGTGTGTGTTTAGTATTCAGAAATATCTTAAAGATGACAACGATAATAGTGATGAGTATTCTAACAAGGATTCTCAGCAAATAAATAAACAACCTCTTTGCCAAGTTTCTAAGAAAAGGGAAGGTTCTGCAGAAGGGAGCAACAGTCGATCGAAAACTAAATCTCACAAACCAGCCCCTAAAGCACCTCCATTTCCTGTGTCTTGTCCTTGCTCTTTAACACCTTCATCTCTTGTAATCAGTGAACGAGCCATACCAGAATAAATTTCACAGCCATTTACTAGAGCTATTGAACGAGGCTCTGAGTTATCTACATCACATGTAGCTAGTCAACAATCTGTAACACCTGCAACCACAAGTAGTTGGCAATCTGCAACGTCTACATCTGCTGCTTGTTACCGAACTTCAACACATGCAGCATCAGAATTGCATACAATCAGTCGGCGTAATTTAGAAGATATATCATTTGTTTCAGCAGGCGCCTTTATAGAAGGAGAGTTAGAACAAGTGATAGCCAACCTTGTTCCTAATATTCCGACTAGCTTGTCAATTCCAGCTACTAGTTTGAATGCCACAGAATTGTCTACAGCAGCTAGTCATACATCTGCACAAACATCAAACAGTGTTTTAAATAAAATATTTACTCTTTTAGTTGAGCTGAAAAGCGAAGTAGCTAACCTTCAGAAGCAGACTACTTACAACACTACTATGTTGCAGACTTTGTCACAAGGTGGGATACAAGACGATGGCAACATTTTTGAAACTCTTGATCTTCCTGTATGTGACCGAAAACAGCTGCAGCAGCTTGAAGATATTATTACTAAAGACAATTTTTTATTTAATAAACTTGTAAGTACAATTTGACTTAATAATAAATTTCTCCAAAAAATTTGATATCTTAAAAACATCTTATGTATTAAAAATATTTGCATGCGAGAGTTTATCATCTATTTGAAGTAAGCAATACTTTACAATCTATAACTAAATTTAATCTTACTTATAGTTTTGCTTCATCTTCAGGTTTGTACCGATCAAAACACGAACTCCCTGGAGGTTCGTGTTTCGATCGCCTCCCCTTTTTTTATTAGCAAATTCTCTAATTCAAGCAAATTTTAGCATAAAAATTGAGCAAGATATATATTTGCTAATCAAAAATGCTTTTTTTTCAAATGCAACCTGGCCTCATCCTAGTTACTGTTTTTATTTATTTCTATGATTTTTATGATATTGCCAAAATGCAGATGAAATAATCAATTAAATGTCGACGGTTTAATGTTTAGGTGCATGGTGTTGCTTCAAAGGGCGGTCAGGACCTGAAGGAAGCCGTTAGAAGGATGGTTTCCTCTCTAATGGAAAACGACGTAGTAAAACAAATGAATTGGTCAGGATTTGGTGAAAATCTAAAAAAAACCTTTTGTGACTTGAAATGCCGACAAGTTCTGGAAAGTAAGCGAAACTTAATTTTTGTTAATATCACCTATAATTTAGCAAATGAACCTCAGAAACAGTTGTTTACTGCATCAAAATTGCTTATTCTGTGATATTAAATTTTAATTACTAGAAATACTTAATGTTTAGAAAATAGTTTATTTAGTAATATTAAATGTTATTATAATAATGTGAACTAAGTCAGGGCATAACTGCGTATTATATTATGATGCACATTTGCAGGAGCATTGCGAAGAAATCCACCAACGAAAGGTGCTTCAGAAAGTGATGTGCAGAAGGCCGTGGTTCACTATTTAGCAGGGGCTAGTGATCGTAATGGTGGTAGAAAAGAAAGAGCCATTCGACAATCAATAAAAAAAACTCACTTTGAACATCGTGTACTAATGCCTACACCTTCATCGGCAGTTATAGAACAACCTTTAGTAGCGCCTAAAACTTCAGCAGAATTTTTACTGCATCATTTGCCACTTTTTTGCTCAAACGACTCAAACAATTAGTTATGTTAAAAATTAGTTATGCTAAATGCTGCTACCTTATAGTTTCTTTAGAAACGTTTTAAAAGTTGTTTCCCATATTCATAATGTAGTTATATTTTTCGTGTATTAATATTGTATTTTATGTTGTGATTATGTTTTTATTATGTACATGTGTTAGTTCAAATTATAGAATATATTTCTTTATACCTGGTTTTATGTTATTTTACAAGTTATAAGGGTATTAATGGTTTGTTGAATAATTTTAAAATATTTTTTATTAAAGCTCCTTAGATATTTATTAAAGCTTTTTTGATGGATCGTTAATCCCGCTCCGCTGAGCCATTTGGGGACCTGCGTTAGACCAGTTCGGGTTTGCCATTTGCAGACCGCTGATAAGCCATCACTGGCTTGCCAATGGCGGACCACTGAAACAACAGCACTGCGCCTGCACTGGCAAGCCAGTGCCGGACCGTGACAAAGCCAGTGAGCAAATCGGCGCTGGCCCAGTGCTGGCTAGCCAGATACGGGCCAGCTCCGCAGCCTGCGCTGGGCCGTTGCCGGACCGGTATATCGTTGCAGATTGGGGTGTTGATACTTTTGTCTTTTTTATAAAAACAAATCAAATGGAGATTTCGATAATGAAAATGCCAAAATAAAAGATTGATACTGATATATTAAAAGAAAATTATTTGAAGCACAGTAAAAACTTTTAAAGATCAAAAATATCAAAATATAAACATATAAGCAGTACAGGAAAAATGTGTCTATAGAGAATAACAAACAATTGCATTAATTGCATACTGCATCACCCCCTTAAGTATGAGGAGTGTTTAACTCAGATTAAATTTTGGTGCTTTGTTGTTGTTAACCATATGCTGCTAGTGTTAAAAATGGATGAGCCTACTTTTCAAATAATTTTGCTTACTACAAAAATCTTATTGTATTTGTGACCTTGCGGTAGAAAAGGGGCCAGATATGGGAAATGAATCATTCATACCAAAGAAGCAAACTAATTAAACTGAACAAAATAACACCAAGATCTTTAAAATTGCTCAACTGGATAACTAAAGTTATGCTTTTTTATATTCTAAAGTTTAAAAACGGCAATTGTCGGGATTTAAAAGTTTTAATAAAAATGTTGATTGCTATGTTAAGCTCAACTAGAAATAAACGAACGTTAATTTGACCAATTTAATCAATTCAGTTAATAGTCTGATATAATCCATCTACCAAATTCAAATGAAAACAGAAAACTTAAAAACCACAGGTCACTGTGTTTAAACATGATTTTCTCAGAAACTAGATCCCGCCATGTGGTCCCTTTTCTACCGCGAGGTCACATTTTGTTTATTGTTCAAGTTAATCTCATTTTCTTTAATCTAGCATAATTTTTCAACCTACTATTTTTTAATTTTTATTATGAAAGCCTTTTTATACATTTTATCTAATTATTTTATCTTATGATTTTGAATCACTATATGTGGACATAATAAATAAAACCACAAAAAACATTATCATCAACGTTTTATACAGACAACCTTCCGGCTCAATAAAACAATTCGAAAAGCACATTAAAAACATAATTAAAAATAAATTAAGCGAAAATAAAAGCATTTAATTTATAGGTGATTTTAACCTTGACCTGAACATGACTTATATAAATACAAGCATATATAGTTTCTTTAACGACATATACCAGAAAGGCTTTATTCCACTAATTAATAAACTCACAAGAATAAGTAGAGAAAGCGCAACTCTCATAGATCAAATAGTCACTAATGAACTAAAATTAAAAATAAAAACAGGAATATTTAAATGCGACATTTCAGATCATTTCCTTATATTTCTTATTTCACAAGAATGTGATAACATTTATGCACAAAAAGTTAAAAAAATACGCGATATATAAATGAAAAATCCATGGAAAATTTTAATATTCTTTTATCAGATTTAAATTGGGAAGACCTCCTTGATATTGAACACGTAGATATGGCATACGACAAGTTTATTGATAAATTACAACAACTTTACAGTTCGGCTTTTCCTGTAGTTACAAAATGTGTGAAAAAAAAACATTATTAAGTCCATCGATAACGCCTAGAATTATAAAGTGGTCGAAAAAAAAGCAACGACTTTATAATAAGTTTCTAAAAAAAAAAACTTTCAATAATGAAACTAATTACAAAAATTATAAACGATTTTGAGATGGTTATCAAAAAGTCAAAGAATTATTACTATACTGAGCATTAAATAAAAAATAAAAATGATCCAAAAAAAACTTGAAACACAATTAAGGAAGTAATTGGCACGAAACAAAATGACGGAAATAGTCTTACTATAAAACTAAACATTAAAAATAAAGCTATTACAAATAAATCTTTAATTGCTGAAACACTTAATCAATATTTTGTCAGTGTTGGTTCCACTTTAGCGTCAAAAATAGAAACTACTGAAGTAAACTTTGAGTCATACCTCACTCCTAATATGACCTCTAAGATGAAAAATTATGAAATTAGTGAAAAGGAACTCTTAGATTCAGTATACTTTTACTAACCAGGGTATTCAACTGACCATATCATTATTAAAACTAAACAAAAGTGTGGGTTTTGATAATCTTAGTAGTTATGTAATTAAAAAATCAATAAAGTACTTAACAATCCCTCTTTTACATATTTTTAATCTATCTTTAAAACTAGGCATTTATCCGGAAAAACTAAAAATTGCACGGGTCATACCTATTTTCAAGTCAGGAGACATATTTATTCCTGAAAATTACAGATCAATATCAATACTTCCTTGCTTCTCCTACATCTTAGAGTGAATTATGTATAACTGAATTTTAACTTTTCTAAATATAAATAATACTCTATTTAACAAACAATTTGGTTTTCAACCAGGGTATTCAACTGACCATGCCATTATTAATATTGTTCACGATATATTTAAAGCCTTTGATGAAAGTAAGTTTACCCTAGGAGTTTTTATAGATCTTAGCAAAGCCTTTGATACAGTAGACCATATAAAATTCTTATAAAAAAACTCGAAAGTTATCGTATTAAAAACAAATATTTAGAATGGCTTAAAAGTTATCTTAACAATAGAAAATAATACACACGAAGAAATAAAAACTAAATACTTGACTATTACTTGCGGTGCTCCCAAGGCTCAATTCTGGGTCCACTTTTATTTCTTATTTATGCAAACGATTTCCATAAGTTTTCAAACATTTTAAACTCAGTTTTATTTGCAGATGATACAAATTTGTTTTATTCTAATGGAGATATCAACCTCTTATTTAAAATAGTAAACAAGGAATTTTTAAATCTAGCGGAATGACTTAAGGCAAATAAATTGCTTTAAATTTAAATAAAACTAAGTATACTTTTTTTCATAGACTTCACGATAAAGAAAATATTCTATTAAAACTTCCTGATCATTACAATAGCAACTCTAAAAAAGTTAGAGAGTCATCATTAAAGTTTTTAGGAGTGATACTTGACAAAAGTATGACATGGAGAGAACACTTAAAAACAATTGAAAATAAAACTTAGAAAAATATTGGCATATTATACAAAGCTCAGCAAATCGTAAACAAAAACTGCTTAAAAATCTTATTTTTCTCCCTCATACATTGTTAAATAAACTATGCAAATATTGCATGGTGCAGCTCTAATGTAAGTAAAGTTAAAAAATTGCTTAGTAGACAAAAACACGCTGTCAGGATTATTTTAAATGCAAGTCGATTCGCACATTCTAAAGAACTATTCAAAAATCATCACATACTCAATGTTATTGAGTTAAACCTTTATCAAATTCTTATTTTTATGTACAAACTACATCATAAATTAACTCCTATAACTTTAATACATTATTCAATAAAATTAATCACGTGTACCATACAAGATTTTCAAATTACAATTAGCAGCAACCTAAAATACACTAGTTGGCTACTAAATTTTCTATTGCTATCAGAGGTCCTAAATTATGAAACACTTTATTAAATAACCAGCTGAAAAAGTGTTCTTCATTATCTCTATTAAAATAAAAACTCAAACAAAAGCTTCTTAACGATGTTAATGAATTATATTGTTTTTAAGGTTCTTTTATCTTCTTTTTTAACAACTATCTTATTAACTAGTCTAACCAATTTAAACTTTCTTTAATTATCCTATTAGCTATCTTCAGTTTTTAAGTGTGATTGCTTTTTTTTGTTGTTTTTTTTTTGTTTTTTTGTTTTTTTGTTTTCACAATTTTCTTTTGATTATAGATTAGTAACTAATCTTAACGTATTTGTATGTATTTGTATATAATTTTTAAATGGTACAAAGTAATTTTATGTTTTATGTTTAAGTTTTAATGGTTATACACGCTTGCTAATAAAAGCACGTCTGGGTGTAGTGATAAGGTAAATATTGTCTTTTTTTAGCCCCAGTCATGTAGATTTTGTTTATATAACACGGCATTGTTTTCTTTTTTTTTAATGACAAATAAAAAAATTTAAAAAAATTAAAAAAATAAAAAAAAAAAATTATAGATACAAAATTCATAAAATTCGGATAAAGGTTCTATAGAGTATGTTTAAGTAGATGCCAAAGTATCCCAGTGGGCATTTCGACGTCGAACGAACGTCGAGCGACGTCGGATCTCGACGTCGGATCGACGTTGGGTTTACGGTGGAAATGGAAATGTTATTTGACGTCGGATAAACTGACATCGCGCAACGTCGGCATTCCGATGTAAATCCAACGTGTTTTTTGAAAACTAAAAAACGTTGCCTTAGACAGGTATCGAACCTCGGTCTATTAGAAGCTAAATCCTACGCGCTTACCACTACACCACAGCGACGTATAAATAAATATGTTTATTTAATAATTTATACTTGTAGCTATTTGGGAATTATTACTTTGATAAGAAATAATTTTGTTTAAATATTATATAAATATTAAAACGAATAGTTATATATTATAAAAAATGTATACTCGAAAATGTTAGTAGTTAAAAAACTATGCTAGTGCATCATACAAAACCTCATGATGTTTTATCAACCATTATTCAAACTTCTTTCCATTAATAAAAAACACGCTTAGTTCACATATTTATTGAAGAGCGCAATTGCACACATATTGTTGGGTTTGGATTAAATTTTCATCAGCGATGTCTTACGACGTTGTTCCGACGTCGTTTTAAGGACGATGGATTGACGTCGGAAGACGTCAAAAGACATCGGAGTACGTTAATAATATGACGTTGCCCGACGTCTTTTTATCGACGTTGGATCGATGTCAGTACTGCGACGTTTTTTGGACGTCTTTTATAAGATGTCGGAACAACGTCAAAATACATCGAAACGACGTCAGGGGATGTTGAGATAAAGACATCGCCCGACGTCATTTTACTGACATCGGAACAACGTCGGAATAGGTCTTTTGACATCGCTGATGAAAATCGTACGTAAATCCGACGTTGGATTGACGTCGGGTGCCCACTGGGATAGAGTCTGTAAGCATCTATCTAATTTTTTTCATTAGAAGACGTATTATGTTATTGTTATTAATCCGCCTATAATGAATAGCCTATGAATATTAATAGTGCGCATAGTTACGCATTGTTACGCCTATTGTTCGTTTTGTTAATTACGGTTCTGCATTATGTAAAATATACTATTTCTTTGCCTCTAGAATTTTCTAAGCTCAGTTATATATTCCATGCGGTCATTCGAGTAAAATCAGCAATCAAATTGGAGCTGATACATTTATTTTCAAGAAGAATTAATGTTGTTTGTTTTTTAAAATAAAAATTTAAATAATTGTTTGTTTGCTATGTATATATATATATATATATATATATATATATATATATATATATATATATATATATATATATATATATATATATATATATATATATATATATATATATATATATATATATATATATATATATATATATATATATATATATATATATATATATATATATTATGTATATCTATATGTATTTTCTCTTAGCAAAAATAATTGAGAATAGAAAAATAAAAAAAATTTTTTCTGGAATTTGTCAAAAGGGTGTTGTGTTATTCTTCATTTTAAGGTATCTAAATATGTATTTATTTTTCATTTTTTAGATTAAGTTAGAACTAAATTGACTGGTAAAATAGTTTATTTAGTACAACAAACATTTTAAGCAGTTTTATTTTATTTTTTAGAGCAGTTTTAGAGAAGCTGATCGCTTTTTTAGTAAGTTCAAGTTATTTTCTCATACATAAATTAAGGTTTTCGATTTATTTCAGTTTAATTTATATTTCTCTATATCTACATATATATATTCTCTAAGGAAAAATAATAAGGAAAAAAAAAATTAAGAAAATTTCTTCTGGAATTTGTCAAAAGAGTGTTGTGTTATGCTTCATTTTAAGGTATCTAAATATGTATTTATTAGAAATTTTTTTAAACCAAGTTTAAAAAAGTTGTTAAACCAAGAAAATTGTAGAGGTTTATTTATCAATATATACTATAAATTATATAATAATATTGGAGGGAGTAAGTTAAAAAGCATTTTTAAATTTTTAAAAAGAAATAAAAATACTTTTCAATATATATCTGTTTTTTTTGAGGTAGATTTAAAGTTTCAGGTTTTCAAAATTGTAGATCTTTCTAATGTATAAATAGACATTAAGTATTTTTAAGTAGACATTACTTATATATAAAATCTTTTAAAATTTAATAAGTAATTATTTGTTTAAATAAGTAGTTAATTGTTATAATTTATTAAGATTTAAATTATTAGAAAATTCATGTTTACAGAGTTGTTATTAATCATTATCGAGTTGTTGAACCAAAGAAATTGTAGAGGTTTATTTATCAAATATATACTATATATATTGTAAAAAAAATTTTGGTTTTCATATGTTTTCACTAATAAATAGTTCTGTATATATATATATATATATATATATATATATATATATATGTATATATATATATATATATATAGATATATATATATATATATATATATATATATATATATATATATATATATATATATATATATATATATATATATATAAGTATATATATCCTCGGAGTTGCGGCAGTATAATAGTGTGTTAGGAGCAAAATATTTATAAACCCGCGTTAATAACCGGTTTTCTATTGTACATAATGCATTAATAAGTTTTATTACGTGTTTTGTTCAATGTTTTCTCCCAACTCATGAACTATGACGCTGTCGCAATTTTTTTTTTTTTATTAGAAATAAAATAAGTTTTAATAAGTTTTTGCTGATGTGGTTGCAGGTTTTTCTTAACTTCTATCAAATAAACTTAAGAAACCTGTATTACTTTTGATGAGAGCAAATTAATTTTATTTTGCATTTGTTTGGTTTCTTTATATATATTTGTTTTGAAAATTTTTTTTTTAATTTTTCGAGTATGATTTTTTTAGTTATTAAGTTTTTTTATTTTATTGTTAACTTTAGATAGTAAAAAAAAAAGAAATAATTAGTGTTGCTTTGATAAATATGTTTAATGAAAATGATGACATTGAAATGGATGATAGGCTAGATGTAGTTTTGTATTTACAAGATGATGTAAGTGCTATAAGGCGTGTTGAAAATAATCGTAGACGAAATGAAAGAAATAGACTTAGGCGAGATGAAATTAATTGTTTACAAAATGAAAGAAATAGGCTCGATCGAGATAATGTTAATCGTCGCCAAAATGAAAGAAGAGCTGTTGGACAAGGACGAATGTATTCTATAGCGAGAAGTAATGCTATTCCAGATTATAATTATTTAGGAGAAATGAATCAAATTTGTCAGCACTGTGGTGCTAAGAAATTTCCAGATGAAACACATTTTCTATGTTGCCATAATGGTAAGGTAGCTTTGCCTCCACTTTCACCAATTACACAAGCTTTACAGGATTTGTTTACAGGGAGTTATGTAGATTGTAATGCTAATGCTAATTTTTTAAAACATATTCGAAATTATAATGCCTGCCTTTTTTTGCTTCTTTTACAGCAAATGTAGTTCAACCAATGATTCATGGGCTTCCATGTTTTAAAATATATGGCCAGATTTTTCATCGTGTAGGTAATCTTAGGCCAGATCAAGATATTCCACCAATATATTCTCAACTATATATTTATGATCCACTTGCTGCACTAAATTTTAGAATGCAACACTATGCTAATGATCTTTGTTTACGTGATTTAATGTTTCAATTGCAAACTAGAATTATGGAACAAAGTCTATTTGCTCTTGCATTTAAAAACGTGGCTGAAGTAGAAGATGAAGAAATTCGTAAGGCGGCTATAGAAGGTCGCTCAGCTTCTGTTGTAAAAATGTCTTTACTTGAAGGCGGTGATTGACGTCGTTATAATCTACCTTCACATGATGAAGTTGCAGTTGTATTTGTTGGCGAAGATGGTGCTCCCCCAACTTCCAGGGAAGTTGTTATTTACCCAAGAGGTCATCCTTTAAAAATTGTATCAAGTATGTCAGCCAACTTGGATCCTATGGTTTATCCGCTATTTTTTCCAAGAGGTGATGCTGGTTGGCATAATCGATTGGTGCATAACCCTGAGCGTGCCACACTGGTTAGAAATCATGTTACATTATCTCAGTTCTACAATTATAGACTTTCTGCTAGGCAATTTTTCTGTTCATTATTTTATGGCAAGAAACTATTTCAGCAGTATGCTGTAGATGCATATGTAAAAATTGAAGGCCAGCGTCTTGCTTTTATCAGAAATAATCAAAATAAGCTGAGAAGCGAGCAGTACGATGCCTTACATGAACATAATAACAACATTGCCTATGATCGTAATATTAGACCAGGACGAGTAGTAGTTTTGCCATCATCTTATGTAGGAAGTCCTAGAGCTTTAAAATAAAACTTTGAAGATGCTATGGCAATTATTAAAAAGTATGGTAAACCAGATATTTTTATAACTTTTACTTGCAACCCAAAATGGCGTGAAATAACAGAAAATTTGTATCCGGGTCAGAATGCGAATGATAGACCTGATTTGGTTACTCGAGTATTTAAACTCAAGTTAAATAACCTCCTCAATGATATATTCAAACATGGTGTATTCGGCAAAGTTGTAACGCATGTTCAGGTTATTGAGTTTCAAAAGCGTGGTTTGCCGCATGCCCACATTTTACTTCATTTAGCAAATGATGATAAACTTGAAACATCACAGGATATCGATAATTTGATTTGTGCAGAAATAATAGATCCGATAGTTAATTGTGAACTTTATGATATTATCAAAACTTGCATGATTCACGGCCCATGTGGGATACTGAATCCAAATTCTCCCTGCATGAAAGATGGGGTGTGCAGCAAAAAATATCCTAAAGATTTTAATGCCAACACAGTAGCTGTTCACAATGGTTATCCGCGCAATAGGCGTCGTGATAATGGGTTGGTTATCAATATTAAAGGCAACAATGTAAATAACCGTTGGGTGGTACCTTATAATCCTTGGTTGTCAAAGAAATATCAAGCCCACATTAATGTTGAAGCTTGCATGTCTGTGAAGGCTGTTAAATATTTGTATAAATACATATACAAAGGGCATGATTGTGCGAATGTTTTGATAAATGAACAGGTTAATCACGATGAAATAAACACTTTCTTAGATTGTCGTTATGTTAGTGCACCTGAGGCGCTGTGGCGAATATTTGAGTACCCCATAAGTCATATGTCACACTCTATTATCCGTCTTAAGGTTCATCTTCCTGAGAATCAGATTGTGTATTTTAGAGAAGGAGAAGAACAAGGGGCGTTAGATCGTGCTGCTCAACGTGATACACACCTTACGGCCTGGTTTAAATTGAATTCTGAAATTGAAGGAGCCAATCGCTATTCATATGTTGACATTCCATATCACTTTGTATTTGATGATAAACATTGTAAATGGAAGGTTAGACGAAGAGGTGAAAATTAGGTGATAGTAAGAATGTATAAAGTTAGTCCAACAGGAGATTTAATTTTTCTTAGATTGTTACTTTTACAAGCAAAAGGAGCAAAATCTTGGGAGGATTTGCGTACTGTTAATGGAATAGTTCTTGAAACCTTTCGTGAAGCGTGTGTTTTTAATGGTTTGTTGCAAGATGACACTGAATGGCAGAATACTCTTTCTGAGGCAGTTTTAACGCGAATGCCTAAGCAAATCAGGCAGCTGTTTTCAATTATTTTAACCTTTTGTGAACCTGATGACCCTTTGCATCTTTGGAATTCATACAAAGCCTTTATGATGGAGGATTTTAATCATCGCCAAGTTCCATTTATATTAGCTGAACAAGCTACTCTTCTTCAAATCGAAAAGATTATTAATCAAAGTGGTAAAATGCTACCTGATTATAATTTGCCTGTTGTTGATGAAATCATAGATTTTATTCAAGAAAATTTAAATAATAATGTTCAGCAATCAATTGACGAAGCTAATCGAATGAGACCGCTTCTTAATGTCAATCAATTCAATGTAAGTAATGCTGTCTTTGCTGCATTGAACGAGCAACCATGTGTAGAAAATCAAAATTCCAGATTGTTTTTTATGGATGGACCAGCCGGTAGTGGCAAAACTTTTACATATAACTATTTGATTGCTGAAATGAACAGTAGGGGTGTTAAATCTGCTACAGCTGCATGGACTGGCATAGCAGCAACTCTTCTTACAAACGGATCTACGCTGCACGGGTTATTTAAACTTCCTGTCCCAATACTGGATAACAGCACATGTAATGTGACTCCTAACTCTATTCAGGGACAAATTTTATGGCAAGTTAGTTTGTTTATGCTTGACGAGACATCCATGATTCCCAAACACGCTTTAAATGCAATGGATCGATTGTTAAAAGATGTTTGCAACAACAACTTTCCATTTGGAGGAAAAGTCATTCTTTTTGGTGGTGACTTTAGGCAAATTTTGCCTGTTGTGAAAAGAGGGAGACCAACTGAAGTTGTAGAATCATGTATAAAATGTTCTTTACAGTGGCAATGGGTGCAGAAGTTTACATTAACTCAAAATATGAGAGTACGTGATGGAGAAGGAGATTTTTCCGAATGGCTGTTAAAACTTGGTAGTGGAACAATACCTGGCAAGGAGGAAGATCCTTTTAAGGGATGTATTGAAATACCGCAACAGTGCATTATTAGAGAAAACGAATCAATTGTTGAAAAAATATTTAGAGATGCTCAACAAGATGATTATGCTAAACGTGTCATTTTAACACCCACCAACGTGGATTCATTGTCAATCAATGAAGAAGTGCTTGAACGTCTACATGGAGAGGTCAAAACTTATTTAAGTGCTGATCAAATAGACACTGATGATCTTAATGAAATAAATAATTTCCCTGTTGAGTTTTTGAACAGCCTAACTACTTCAGGTATGCCTACTCATTGTTTAAAGTTGAAAATTGGTTGTGTAATTATGCTACTTAAAAATTTAGATCTTAAAGCTGGGCTGTGTAATGGAACCCGAATGAAAGTTTGTGCTCTCCAAAACAATTATATTGATGCAGAGGTTTTGACAGGTGTTTCTGAAGGTAAACGTGTATTTGTTCCTCGAATTCAGTTGACCTTTTGTTCTAAAACGTCGTCAGTCTCCTGTCAGATTAGCTTATTCGATGACAATCAATAAAAGTCAAGGTCAAACATTTGATAGAGTTGGGGTATATCTAAAAAAACCGTGTTTCTCCCATGGTCAACTATATGTTGCATGTTCAAGAACTAGAGCATTTAATAGTTTGTTTTTCAAAATTGATAAACATCCTATTCAAGGTATGGTAGGTGAAAAATACTACACAAATAATGTTATATTTTCTAATGTTCTTAATTTATAGTCTTAATTTTTTCTCTTCTAAAATTTACTGTTTGTAGGTTGTGAGCACATTTTGTATGTGTAACTTTAATATTTTTATTTTTTTCATAGTTTTTGATAAATATATTTGTCATTTAATATTGTTATATATTGTGTTTATATGTGTTAAATGAAGTCAAATTTGTTTATAGTTGTATATATGTTTACATTATGTTGTTTCCATGTTTTTAAAGTGGTGTGACTTGGCAAAATGTTAAGCAAGAATGTAAACCTTGCCAGCCAAGCGGTGTACTTATAGCAGAGTTGTGACTTGGCACCATTTTGTGCCAGGCGGTGTTACTGCTTCAGAGCTAGGTGGTGTTGTCTAGCTTTTTTAATTATTTTGGAAACACATAATGTCTGGTAATGTTTTGTGTAATGTGTATGAAAGAGTATGCAACCTTGATCCTTAAATTCAAAAATAATTGAATAACTAACATTGAATATAAAAGCAAACATACTATATTAAAGTTTAGTAAAAGGATAAATGTAGATAACTCAAAATTGGTTTTTTAGTTTTGCCTTTCATATTCTTTTAAAATTGATTTGTTATTTTCCACTGGATTTTAGAGTCAAGGGTGTAAATATTAGTTATATAGGTGTGAATATGTGTTAATGTTATGTGTTATTGTTATAATGTTGTAATGTATTGTTATAATGTATAATATTGTTATATTGTTGTGATGTTTTGTGTTGATAGACAGCTTGGCTTACCTTCCCGTTGGTGTCTATCGTTAAAAATGAATAATAGATAGTTTCTTTATTGGAACTTGCTGCTTTTATTCATTTACAAAAATCTTGCTATAAATTCAATTTATGTCTTTATTTGATTTTTTTTTCCCTTAGTATTGTTAATTCTTTAGTACTTCGAAAAAGATTTTATAGCTACTTTTTTCAAAACATTAAAAAAAAAAAAAATCACATAAAACATAAAACATTAAAAAAAAAAAAAAAAATCATGAGGAAAAAAAATATGTTGCGTATCTATGATAATTGAGACACTTATGTTATAAATGTGCGAATGTAATTAGTCCTAATAAGCTGCGGATGGTCTGAAAAAAAAGTTGTCTGAAACTTAATAAAGAAAAAACTTACAAGACAGCCCTGCTACTTCTGAAGATGTTGCTGTGGAGGCAAAAAAAAAAACGCCTGTAGCTAGATAAAACTTTAAAACTTTCTTTTGACAATTAAAAGTTTATTTTGCTACATTAACTTTTTTACTATAAATATATGCAGCAACTGTTTTTCAAAACGCTTTAATATGCTTATGACGTAATTCAAAAAAAACCCAATTGAAAATAAAATTGTTTGGAAAAACTCTTCGTTAAACGTTTTTTGAAACGAATAACTTTTATTTAGTTTTTTTTTTCTTTTGTGCAACTTTCATTTCAATAAATTTCTTTACCTTTCAGAATATGACCATTTTAAACAATGCTATAGAAAAAATATCAGTAAATTGATTAGTAGTGTTTTAATTATATTAATTAGATTAAATTATATATATTAAATTATATATTTTATATATTAAATTAAATAGATAAATAAATTGATATTCAGTAAATTTTTTTATACTTAGTGACAAAATAGACTAATTAGATAAGTCGTTAAGTAGAATGCTAAGAATATATTTATGGCGGTTATTGTTGTTAAGGGTGATTCATAGGCAAATAAATTAAAAGCTAATCAGGGCTTTGAATAAATTATAAACTAATCAGAGAAGTTTTATTGGTAAACCTAATAAATAGGAAGATAACATATAATTCAGGTAGACATTGTTTTCACTTTTTCGCCAAACTTTGATATCTTTGATATTAAAAAATACGACCTTTCCAATAATTATAGAAGGTAGTTTATAAACCTTTTTATTTCGGATCCACAAACCGTTATGATTTGTATTTTATCAATGTGAACGAAAGTCTATTCAAATATCTAAATATGTAAACTTTAAGTTCTTTAATTATCAATCAGTATAATTATAAAGTAGATGACATCAAATTCTACCGATTTATTTTTACTTAATAATTTCATTGCGACAATATCTCTTTATTTTAAAGCATTAAATGTTGTTTTTTAAAGTTTAATAAGTTTTCTGTTTATTAAATAGTGTAAAAAGATGATATAGCATTCCACAGCGATTGAAGTGCTTCGCTTCGGTTCAAAACCTTTTGCTTACACAATTTTTTTTAAAAATTTTTTCCAGTTTTCTAGAAAACAAAGAAAAACAAGTTTAAATGCATATAGATGTTATACGCATTACATAAAAATAAAGATATAATATACTATAAGAAACCAAACGGAGAGATTTTTTAAAAACGTTTTAAAAAATTTTTAAAAACATAAAAACGCTGTTGGAAATTTGTTGCGCATATATCATGATAGAGATACTAATGTTTTAGGTAATTAGTTAAAACTGCGAGTTCAACACACATTAAAGAGATAAATTTCTTTCTTATATATATAAAAAAAAGGTTTTACATGCAATCTGAAATTTTTATTAAAACTAACCGGTCAAGAGTCATAAAAAGTACGGAAGGGTATGAAAAAAAAAAATTGTAATCTGAAACCTAAAAAAAAAAATTAGTTACTCCAGAAGGTGACAAACAGAAAACCCACAAAATTTCGCCTAATCCGCTAATAAAAATGCTCGAATATTAAGATATAAACAAATATTTAATGATTTTTGAATTACGAAATGTACGCCAACTCTTAAACCACTGTAAAACTACCTTGCAGTTATCTAATTAAATCCACCAAATCCATTAATAAAAACAGCCTTATTAATAGATTCAAAACCATCTGATTTTTGTATTATGATATGTGCGCCAACTGTACTCTAAAACCAATAAAACTCGGCCATGTGGTCTTCATATCGATTATAACAATTGCAAAGCGAGGGACGACAAGTAAGTTGTATCTACAAGTTTAATTATTGTAATCTTCATTTAAAAAATTAAACTTATTTTATAATTACCATGTTAATATGTTTGAAGTTAATATGTTTTTGACCCAAGAATAAACATTAAGATTATTTTTTAGAAATGAGCAGCCGAGATACAGAAGGTATTCTTTTAATTTTCTATAACATTAATTAAAGAGATAAAAAGAGATGATACGTCAATAATACTGAGATATTTAGCTTATTTTTTTATTAAGAAATTACATTAAGAAAATTTTGTATATCTTTAGGCGACAAAGAAGTTTCTGCATTTTTTCGAAGTAGGCCATATATATATACTATATATAGTAGCAGTTACATATGTTCTAAAAGTGGCGGAGCTGTACTTGATTTACGGTGTGAATAAAACGATGATTTAATTTAGCCGTTTTTAATTAAAATCAAACAAGATATGCCGCCCTCCCCTAAACCCGTGAATCAAGTACACCCCCCTAAAATTTAACTAAAATTAAAAAATATATAAATTAATTTTTAGAACTTTAAAAGGCTGGACCCAAAACTCAGTTTTTGTTTATTCCGCTATTTTGATTGATGTTTTTGTAAAGAAGTGAACCTTAAAAACGCGTATAAGCTTTATTTAAGGTGTTTAAGCTATAATTTCATAAAACGTGTTTAAGCTAAAATTGACTTTTAAGTCTTCTAACTACTAAACTTTCACGTAAAATGAAACTTTTTGTCAATTACTGAATGTGTTAAATTATAAAACTGTGCAACAGTTTTATAATTTAAGACAAATCTTATATGTTTAATTGAAAAAGTAAATATTTTGAAAATTAATTTTGTCTATATATATATTAGATGTTCAAGAGATCAGAGCCGAAGAGCTCTTGCCAAGTAAGCTAATTTTGTATGAGAAGGATATGTTACAAAGATATATATTTCACCAATTTCAGCAATTTGTTAATTATAACTTTTTTTTAATGTTTAGCGGAGGTAATGGACAAGCTAAGTGAGGAATTTTGTTGTTGTTTTTTGTTTTTTTTGTGTGCAAATACATTTATGCTTTTTTAGTTTTTTTAAAGTTTTTTAGCAACTGACTTTTGTCAGTTGTGACAGTTTGTCAGTCAGCAAGTGACTTTTGTAATTTTTAAATGTATTTTTTTTAGAAAAATTAGAAGATTCTGTTTGGAATCTAAGTAAGCAATTTGTTATTGTTGTTGTAATGCTCTTTATTTTTTTTATTACATATTTATTTAACATAAAGTTATTCTATATTTGGCAAGTTAGTTAATTTTATGTTTATAAGTTTTTCATTTTATTTAGAAAAATTAGAACATTCAATGGGTAAACAGAATTTGATTATATTACATTTGTGTATTGAAGATAAAGCATTTTACTTTCAAAAAAAAAGGTGTATTCTATGGTCTTTTAGCTTTTTTGATACAATTTTTAGCATTTTTTTTATAGGGCTTATATTTCAACAACTTAGTAAGTTACTATATTGTTCTTGTGAATTGTTTCTTTACTTTTATTTTTTATTTTTTTTGTCGCTTTTTTCTTTTTTGGTTTGTTTTGTTTTGTAATTGTTATTTTTGCCTTTTGTTTTGTTCCAACTTTATTTATAGATTTCCTAAAGTTGACAAATATTCTGCATGTTAGTTTCTTTCCTAATGTTAATGAGTTTTTTTTATTTTATTTAGAAAATTTAGAAAATTCAATTGGTAAGAAAAGTACACTTATGTTTCTTTTTGTTTAATTTTGACACACATTTTTTGATGTTTGTGTGCGGTTTTATCACTCTAAAATAAACTGTTTAATTGATTAGTATATGTTAGTTTATGTAAATATATTTTTTACCTCCACTATAGCGTTATCTGCAGTACCATCAGGTAATGTGTTTTGCATTCTTATGCAGTTTCAAGATTGTTATGTGTGTTAAAACTTAAAGATAGCATATCTTAATTTACAGATTACTTTATTTATTTATTTTTTTGTCTCTACATTAGCACCTCAAGCAATAATATCAGGCAATCTGTTTAGCATACTTATGCAGTTTTATGGGTTTTATGTGTATTTAAACTTAATCATTACTGTTTTCATGCAATTACATAAATGTTTAACATATGTTACTTTATACACTTTTTTTTTTACCTATACAATAGCACTTAATCATTACTGTCATCATATGCAGTACTATCAGGTAATGTGTTTTGCATACTTATGCAGTTTTATGAGTGTTATGTGTATTGGAACTTAAACATTACTTTTTTCATGTTTGTAAACAATTACATAAATGTATAACATATGTTACTTTATACACTTTTTTTTTTTTACTTTAACAATAGCATCAATATCATCTGCAGTACCATCAGGTAATGTGTTTTGCATACTTATGCAGTTTTATGGGTTTTATGAGGATTGAACTTAAACATTACTTTTTTCATGTTTGTAAACAATTTCATAAATGTATAACATATGTTACTTTATACACTTTTTTTTTTTTTTTTAGTTACACAATAGCATTAATATCATCTGCAGTACCATCAGGTAATGTGTTTTGCATACTTATGCAGTTTTATGGGTTTTATGTGTATTGAAACTTAAACATTACTTTTTTCATATTTGTTATCATTTACATAAATTTTTAAATTATGTTACTTTATATATTTTTTTGTTTCAGTAAGAATTTTTATCTTTAGCAATGCTGATAAAACTAAATTCAAAAAAAAAAAGAGTATTTCCAGCTTTCCAACCAAATATTAGAGACTTTTACAAAAGCACCCTCACAAAGTAAGTGTCTAATATTTATTTAATATTACTAAATTTCGTTTCGTATTTTTTATTTTTCAAATGAATTAACATAAAACAAATAAATGTGCGTTCAGTGTTATCAATAATAATTTTATTTCATTTTTAGATAATGTTTTTATAATCAATTTAAAAGTCTTTCAAATCGTTAATCATTTTCTAAAGGCGAAAAAGAAGAATCGTCAATCTTCATACCATTTAATAAAGCTATTTTAATAAAACGCAATACAAATTGTTGTAAATTAGTATTTGAATAATTTTCACGTTGTTACCTTATTTTTCAGTTTCCTATTACTTTGTATTGAATTAACTAAATCCAATATTGCAGTGCCTTATATCAAGTATTTCACATTTTCTGTTTTTGTTTTATGCAGAAAAACAGATCAAGTTAATTTTTTTGACTTGCCTAGCTACTTATTTTACACGCCTAGCGACAGTGAGTGTGCATAAATCAACAGAGGATTTGGGTTTGGGCAGGTTGTCTTAAACTAAATGATTTACCTTCTTCATGTTAAGCTCTAAATATAAATATACGGAAAAGGTGCATATGTGAATTTTTTTTTTTTCTAGCACATAATCTATTGTTCACTAAAAAATATTAGAGTGAGAAATAAAAATAAGGTTAATGTGGAATAGAGTTTGTCCTTTTAAGTGAAAAATTTTATAATCTATCTATCTTCTATATAATAATGCCAAACTTAATAGTAGTGTTAGTAGAAAGAGTCGCAACACTTTTTTTTAGAAGAAAACGTGTATGCAAATATCTAACGTACGTAATTAAGTAATGACAAAACATACTGAAACATTTTTCAAGTTTTATACTTTGACTTTGACTTAAAAATTGCATTGCATCAACCTCTCCTAATTTTTTGATCTACAGCAATTCCGTTAAAAACAATTTTTATATTTTTTTAAAATTTCGATATTTGATGTGTCAGCATGGCCGAGTGGTTAGCGCGCTAAGCCTCTGAACGTAATAGTCGTGGTTCAAATTTACCGCCAGCGATTTTTTTCTTTAAATTACAAAATATTTGTGAAGTTAAACAAGTTAAATGTTATACACTTTAACCTTTTTTAATTTTTAATTTTATAAATTTTTTGGATTTCTTAAACACCAATAAACGTGGCGAAAATTTTTTGCGTGTGTGTCACGATTTTGATACTGTTCTCGCATAATTGGTCCTAATAAGCTACGCATAGTCTTAAAAAAAAAGGTCCTAAAACCTAATAAGGAAAAAATTTGATAAAACCGTCGTGCTACTCCACATGGTATTGCAGTGAAGGCAGGGAAAAAAAAAGCAATTAAAAGGTTTTTTGTTATATTTAATTTTTTGCTATAAATATAGCCAGATTAAAAAAATTTAAAAAAATGTATTGAGATTTTTTAGGCGCGGATTTGAAGCCTTGCACAGCGACTCTGATGACTGCGCACTTAACTTGTGAGCTATCAAAGTTATGCATGTAGTTAGGTGCTTCAACATTTTTTTAAAAATGTAAAATGAAAACAAAATAAATACCATAAGTAAGAGCGAAATAATAACGTTTAAAAATTACCAAATATTTTGTTATAATATTATTAGTTTTTCAACTTTTAAACCACAAAATTTATAATTTATTTTTTTGCATGACTTTTGACGCTTTAAGCGACTAACGTTTTAAAGAATTGCATTACCGTTTCCGTCTAATACAAAGATAACTATAAAAAACCGTTATTGTTCAAAACTAAGCATATAATAATAATAAATATAGTAAACTTCTGAATATGGCTAGGACGCGACCATAAACCATGGTCCATGGCTGGTCTAAAAGTAGGAAGTAGTTTAGTTCAAAATTTTTTTAATAAAAAAATAAATAAACGGGATTTAATAAGCTATATACGCATGCGGAAAAAGTTCCTATGTTAAAATTATTTTTTGCTCTTAAAGCAAATTTTTTTAATGAATTTTTTTCCACAGTTTACTAAAAAATATTGAAGTAAATAAAGAACAAGTAAAAAAATGATTGGCGTGGAATTGATAAATATAGAAGTAAAAGAAAAGACCTGCATTTACCGATACGGACAGCTAGATTAAGAAAATAAAGCAAAAGGTTTGTGTGGAATAGACTTACAAAGACCTGTATTTTTACGGGTCAATTCAGCTAGTATGTTATAAATCCGATACTTTTGTTGTTGTTGTTATAATTCCGTATATAGTGGTTGTGTAATTATGCTACTTAAAAATTTAGATCTTAAAGCTGGGCTATGTAATGGAACCCGAATAAAAGTTTATGCTCTCCAAAACAATTATATTGATGCAGAGGTTTTGACAGGTGTTTCTGAAGGTAAACGGGTATTTGTTCCTCGAATTCAGTTTGCTCCATCAGATTCTAATTTACCTTTTGTTCTAAAACGTTGTCAGTCTCCTGTCAGATTAGCTTATTCGATGACAATCAATAAAAGTCAAGGTCAAACATTTGATAGAGTTTGAGTATATCTAAAAAAACCGTGTTTCTCCCATGGTCAACTATACGTTGCATGTTCAAGAACTAGAGCATTTAATAGTTTGTTTTTCAAAATTGATAAACATCCTATTCAAGGTATGGTAGGTAAAAAATACTACACAAATAATGTTATATTTTCTAATGTTCTTAATTTATAGTCTAAATATTTTCATTTCTAAAATTTAACTTTTGTAGGTTGTGAGCACATTTTGTATGTGTAACTTTAATATTTTTATTTTTTTCATAGTTTTTGATAAATATATTTGTCATTTAATATTGTTATATATTGTGTTTATATGTGTTAAATGAAGTCAAATTTGTTTATAGTTGTATATATGTTTACATTATGTTGTTTCCATGTTTTCAAAGTGGTGTGACTTGGCAAAATGTTAAGCAAGATTGTTAACCTTGCCAGCCAAGCGGTGTACTTATAGCAGAGGTGTAACTTGGCACCATTTTGTGCAAGGCGGTGTTACTGCTTTAGAGCTAGGTTGTGTTGTCTAGCTTTTTTTAATTATTCTGGAAACACATAATGTCTGGTAATGTTTTGTGTAATGTGTATAAAAGAGTATGCAACCTTGATCCTTAAATTCAAAAATAATTGAATAACTAACATTGAATATAAAAGCAAATATACTATATTAAAGTTTAGTAAAAGGATAAATGTAGATAACTCAAAATTGGTTTTTTAGTTTTGCCTTTCATATTCTTTTAAAATTGATTTGTTATTTTCCACTGGATTTTAGAGTCAAGGGTGTAAATATTAGTTATATAGGTGTGAATATGTGTTAATGTTATGTGTTATTGTTATAATGTTGTAACGTATTGTTATAATGTATAATATTGTTATATTGTTGTAATATTTTGTGTTGATAGACAGCTTGGCTTACCTTCCCGTTGGTGTCTATCGTTAAAAATAAATAATAGATAGATTCATTATTGAAACTTGCTGCTTTTATTCATTTACTAAAAGCCAAGACAAAATCTTGCTGAAAATTCAATTTATGTCTTTATTTGATTTTTTTTTTCTTTAGTATTGTTAATCCTTTAGTACTTCGAAAAAGATTTTATAGCTACTTTTTTCTATAAATGTTTAAATTAATTGCAATATCAAAAGGTTACAAAAACAGGTAAATCGGTTTTCAGTGTTTATATGTGGTTTATATATATATATATATATATATAAATATATATATATATATATATATATATATATATATATATATATATATATATATATATATATATATATATATATATATATATATATATATATATATATATATATATATATATATATATATATTTATATATGTATATATATATGATGTTTTAATTCCGTTCCTTTTTTTTATTTTAGATTTTACCATATGACGTGTAACGAGCAACCATGTGTAGAAAATCAAAATTCAAGATTGTTTTTTATGGATGGACCAGGCGGTAGTGGCAAAACTTTTACATATAATTATTTGATTGCTGAAATGAGCAGTAAGGGTGTTAAATCTGCTACAGCTGCATGGACTGGCATAGCAGCAACTCTTTTTACAAACGGATCTACGCTGCACGGGTTATTTAAACTTCCTGTCCCAATACTGGATAACAGCACATGTAATGTGACTCCTAACTCTATTCATGGACAAATTTTAAGGCAAGTTAGTTTGTTTATGCTTGACGAGACATCCATGATTCCCAAACACGCTTTAAATGCAATGGATCGATTGTTAAAAGATGTTTGCAAAAACAACTTTCCATTTGGAGGAAAAGTCATTCTTTTTGGTGGTGACTTTAGGCAAATTTTGCCTGTTGTGAAAAGAGGGAGACCAGCTGAAGTTGTAGAATCATGTATAAAATGTTCTTTACAGTGGCAATGGGTGCAGAAGTTTACATTAACTCAAAATATGAGAGTACGTGATGGAGAAGGAGATTTTTCCGAATGGCTGTTAAAACTTGGTAGTGGAACAATACCTGGCAAGGAGGAAGATCCTTTTAAGGGATGTATTGAAATACCGCAACAGTGCATTATTAGAGAAAACGAATCAATTGTTGATAAAAAATTTAGAGATGCTCAACAAGATGATTATGCTAAACGTGTCATTTTAACACCCACCAATGTGGATTCATTGTCAATCAATGAAGAAGTGCTTGAACGTCTACATGGAGAGGTCAAAACTTATTTAAGTGCTGATCAAATAGACACTGATGATCTTAATGAAATAAATAATTTCCCTGTTGAGTTTTTGAACAGCCTAACTACTTCAGGTATGCCTACTCATTGTTTAAAGTTGAAAATTGGTTGTGTAATTATGCTACTTAAAAATTTAGATCTTAAAGCTGGGCTGTGTAATGGAACCCGAATGAAAGTTTGTGCTCTCCAAAACAATTATATTGATGCAGAGGTTTTGACAGGTGTTTCTGAAGGTAAACGTGTATTTGTTCCTCGAATTCAGTTGGCTCCATCAGATTCTAATTTACCTTTTGTTCTAAAACGTCGTCAGTCTCCTGTCAGATTAGCTTATTCGATGACAATCAATAAAAGTCAAGGTCAAACATTTGATAGAGTTGGGATATATCTAAAAAAACCGTGTTTTTTCCATGGTCAACTATATGTTGCATGTTCAAGAACTAGAGCATTTAATAGTTTGTTTTTCAAAATTTATAAACATCCTATTCAAGGTATGGTAGGTGAAAAATACTACACAAATAATGTTATATTTTCTAATGTTCTTAATTTATAGTCTTAATTTTTTCTCTTCTAAAATTTACTGTTTGTAGGTTGTGAGCACATTTTGTATGTGTAACTTTAATATTTTTATTTTTTTCATAGTTTTTGATAAATATATTTGTCATTTAATATTGTTATATATTGTGTTTATATGTGTTAAATGAAGTCAAATTTGTTTATAGTTGTATATATGTTTACATTATGTTGTTTCCATGTTTTTAAAGTGGTGTGACTTGGCAAAATGTTAAGCAAGAATGTAAACCTTGCCAGCCAAGCGGTGTACTTATAGCAGAGGTGTGACTTGGCACCATTTTGTGCCAGGCGGTGTTACTGCTTCAGAGCTAGGTGGTGTTGTCTAGCTTTTTTAATTATTTTGGAAACACATAATGTCTGGTAATGTTTTGTGTAATGTGTATAAAAGAGTATGCAACCTTGATCCTTAAATTCAAAAATAATTGAATAACTAACATTGAATATAAAAGCAAATATACTATATTAAAGTTTAGTAAAAGGATAAATGTAGATAACTCAAAATTGGTTTTTTAGTTTTGCCTTTCATATTCTTTTAAAATTGATTTGTTATTTTCCACTGGAATTTAGAGTCAAGGGTGTAAATATTAGTTATATAGGTGTGAATATGTGTTAATGTTATGTGTTATTGTTATAATGTTGTAATGTATTGTTATAATGTATAATATTGTTATATTGTTGTAATATTTTGTGTTGATAGACAGCTTGGCTTACCTTCCCGTTGGTGTCTCTCGTTAAAAATAAATAATAGATAGATTCATTATTGGAACTTGCTGCTTTTATTCATTTACTAAAAGCCAAGACAAAATCTTGCTGAAAATTCAATTTATGTCTTTATTTGATTTTTTTTTTCTTTAGTATTGTTAATCCTTTAGTACTTCGAAAAAGATTTTATAGCTACTTTTTTCTATAAATGTTTAAATTAATTGCAATATCAAAAGGTTACAAAAACAGGTAAATCGGTTTTCAGTGTTTATATGTGGTTTATATATATATATATATATATATATATATATATATATATATATATATATATATATATATATATATATATATATATATATATATATATATATATATATATATATATATATATATATATATATATATATATATATATATATATATATATATATATATATGTATATATATATGTTATAATTCGGTTACTTTTGTTGTTGTTGTTATAATTCCGTATATATATATAACATGTATATATATATATATATATATATATATATATATATATATATATATATATATATATATATATATATATATATATATATATATATATATATATATTATAATTCCGTTATAATTCCGTTATTTTTGTTGTTGATGTTATAATTCCGTTACTTTTTTTTTATTTTAGATTTTACCATATGACGTATTAATACAATATTAAAAAAAAAACTTGATTTCCTTAATTTGTAAAATTTTTTTCGTTTGTTAAAAAGATAAAAAGACATTAATATATATATATTTTTTCCGATGTTTTCCTTATCTTATGCTTTAATATTTCGTTGTTAAAAACGCAGGGAAACTTGCAGTTTGTCAAATATCAAGTTGATTAGTTTAGTCTGCAATTGCAACAATTTTGAGGAAAGAAAAAATTCTTATATTTGTAAATCGTTGTTTTACGCTTTATTATTTTGGTAAAAGGTCTTCATCATAAATAGATTACTCTTAATAAAAAAAACTCTACTCACATGGCTACCAATAAAACAAAAAAAGGGGAGGGGCTCTTAATTAGCGGAGATGTCAAAATATTGACGAAACCGAAACTTCGAGTAATAAAAAGAATATTTAGTAAATGGCAGCAAATTACTTTACCGTTTGCAAAAAATAATTGAAATAAAGAGGCCATCTATTCAATATAGAAATAACCAGAGTTTAGAAGGCTTAACATGACCGGGTCCAATTAGCTTTGTTTGCAAATATGAGATTATGTCACGTTAACAACCTCAAAAGTCAAATTAAAACATCTTTAGTAGCAAAATGTGATACATACAAGTATAAATGTGATAGTATAGTAAAACTCTTTTATAATTTTTTAGCTAAAAAAATGGATTTAAGACTAGATTGATTTTTGTTTCCTGTTAAACCGCAGGAAATAAAAATTAGAAAGCTATTTGGCCCCGTCAGAATATGCGACAAGTTTGTATTAAACTCATTTACACAAAAATGGAATTAAGACAAGTTAGCTCTTAAAATTATCTATATGTACAGATATGTTTATTGCACTTATTAGTAAATAAATTGATTAGTTGTGTAATGAGTTTAAATTTTAGCCATTTTTTAAAGTTGTTAATCATAACGCACTTAATTAAACATGCGTGATGTAATTTGCATAGCTAAATTAAATGCTCTTTTACTTTAGTTACTGCGCTAAGTGTTGCGCAGTTTGGTTTGTGCGCAGTTTTTCTTCTCTTCTGGAATTTTGAGATTGGAATTTCCAGACTTATTTTAAAAAGCGCGTTTTCGTTATAACTTTTTTTTACATCTAATCGTACCTATCAAGTAGGTCATATTCAGTATAATCAATTCAATCGTTTTCATTTTTTATGTTTTAACATGTCTATTACCTTTATTAAATTTGTTTTTAAGCATATTTGTTTTTATTTCTTATATCGAATTAATAGAATGAATCAGATTGAAGATGAAGGTTTGTATTTATTTAGATGTGTATTATGTTACAGATGTATAATGTTATGTTGTTAGTTCTTAAATATATGTTTATTTTTAGTTGCTGAATTACTAAGAAGTAAGTTTTCTTTCATTTTGTTATTAACAAATGTTATAAATTGCATTTATATGTTTGTTAATTTAAATTAACTTTACAATATTAAAATAGTTTAAACGAACTTAAACGAACTTTTGTAAATGAATTTAATCCTCAAAGATTAAATTTTTTTTATTATTGAAGAAATTAACCTAGATTTAAGAGTCGACTTAAATGTTTGTTTGTTTTTCTATTTAGATGATGACAATATTGAAGCAGTAAGTTAAAAAGCATTTTTAAATTTTTAAAAAGAAATAAAAATACTTTTCAATATATATCTGTTTTCTTTGAGGTAGATTTAAAGTTTCAGGTTTTTAAAATCATATACATTATAAGATTTAAAAATGAGTCGACTTAAATGTTTGTTTGTTTTTCTATTTAGATGATGACAATATTGAAGCAGTAAGTTAAAAAGCATTTTTTAAATTTTTAAAAAGAAATAAAAATACTTTTTAATATGTATCTGTTTTCTTCGAGGTAGATTTAAAATTTCAGGTTTTTAAAATCATATATATTATAATATTAAATTCTTTTTTACTTTAAAAATGTCCATATTATAGTTACAGTGAGACGTAGAAAAAAAATTAAAGTTTATTAATAAGGTAGTAGATTAATAGAGTAGATTAAATTGTTTGATCTATTAATCAACTTAATAACGTACTATTAAAGTGAAGATTTATTTTGGTTGTTTGTTAAAATTTAGTTAGAGTTTATTTAAAATTTAAATTCTTTAGTTAATCAAGAGAGATCTAATAAAGGTATTAATTACATTAGTTGAATGTAGCATTTAATATGTATTTTATCGATATTTTAACGTCTAAACATTAAAGTGCTTTTATTGTTTAGATACAGAAGTAAAGAAGGAAATAAGTCAGTGTTTTTGCTATTAGATATTTGTTAATAGGAATTTGTCTATTTGTACTGCCACTGGATTTTTAAAAAATCAGGTTCTTTAGCTTTTTTTTTATACTTTTTTTTAGGGGAGTTGGAACAAAAACTAAGTATAAATTATGATTAGTTTAGTTTAATAAATAACGCATTAATATTTAGAAGATTTAAAGTTTACTTTAGTTTATAGTTTTGGTTTAGTTTATAGTTTTGTTTTTAGCTTTAGTTATTTTTTTCTTACTTTAGACAACTTTATGGATGAAATGAGGGGGATGGGTAAAACAATTATTTAGATTTATATATATTTATATGTTAACATTATTTTATCGATTATTATATATTTATTTAAGTATATATTTGTCTTTAGTGTCAGGTGGAAGTATAGCTGGTAGGATTGTGTTTTATATTTTATATATTTTGTATGGAGAAATATATGCAATAGGTGAAAAAATTAATTAATAAATATGACACTTTTGAACTGGTTGCATTATTGCCCTATGTATTTATTTAAATCAAAATATTGCATGTTTAACCCTTATTAATTTGCTCTTTTTTTTTTCTTTTTTTTTTAGCATCTTTTCTTTCGAATGAAAATGGTGAGGTTATGCTAATTTTTTTTTTTTTAATAATTGCAAATGTATAATTTTTATTATACTCTTCTACTTGCAACTTTTGATTCCTTATCATTCGAACAATATCAAAATTATCGTTCCCAACACCCGGGACCTCTCTCAGAGAGGTCCTTCAATAAATGGAAACGTAATGGCGGTATGGATGAGCCCTCCTTTAAATGGAGGGTTCATCCATACCGGGGTGTTGGGAGACACTGAAGAAAAAACAGCAACCAAAAGGTTGTAAATGTCTTTTATCAGTAGAGATATTTATGACTTTTTAGTTGCTGCTTTTTCTTCGTTTTTTTTTTTTTTTTAATTTTGTAATTTTTTGTTTGGTGTTTTTTTTATTATAGTTTTGTAATTTTTTTTTTAAATATATATTACGTTGTATATTTGTTTTGTTTTAATCTTTTTTAATAAAATTTTTAATTGCTTTCTCACCAATTAAACCTGACTTCAAATTTAAAGCCCTCTTAAATACCCCTCCCTAAATTCTAAAGTCGAAAGTTGAATTGATTCATTATCCAATTATCATAATATAATAATGCTGCATTCTTTTGTTAAAAACAATTATTTGGTACTGCTTTTAAAATTTACCAAAACCCAAGGCAATATATTTAGCTATATAAATACAATTTATTTATCTCGATTCCATTCTTAATCTTTTATGTTTATAGTTTGGCTCCTTAAAGCATTTTATGTTTTGCTCTTTTTATTATGAATATTTTAAATCCGTTGTGATGTCTTTTAAATTAAACTAAAGTTTACTAAAAGCCAACATAAAAATTACGTTTTTGAACAACACCAAAAAGAACAGCTGCATCCCTACAGCAACTGCTGCAGTATCACAATAGGTTACCAAAAGCAGGTATACTGTGTTTCAGTTGTTATTTTTTTTTTCATATATATCTACTTATTTATATAATACTATAGTATGATTGTTTATATCTCATTCATTTTTTTTTTGTTTATCTTTAAATGTAAATAATTTTATTCTTTGAATGATATTAGTTAAACAAGTCGGCTTTTCATTAACGATATTGGTTTCAAAATTGAACATCATTGGCAAAATGCTTACAAAATTAGGTAGTTTTTAAAAATCTGTTTTCTATTTAATACACTTTTTTTTTAATATACTTATTTAATATACTTTTCTATAACAATTCTACTAATATGGAATCACGTAGCTTTTTAAATATGTTTAATTGTCGTCCCTATTGGTAATAAATATTTTAAATTATTTGATATGGTTTTCTTTACAATAGGCTATGCTTGGCTCCTCGGTGCTGTAATTGGTGGCTTCAACTTTGTTATTTTTAAGAAAAATGTGTTTTATATATGCTTCTGTTTTAAAATATTTTTGTTACATATTTAACTATATATCATGTAAATAAATTTCTTTAAAATATAAGTTAACTTAATACTTGCTTTTTTACCAATTTTCAAAAAGTGAACAAAGGTTGAAATATATTTTTTAACTCTCTTTTATGATTTTATCAATTTTATTAAATATTACTTCTAATATAAAATTTAATATATATATATATAAATATAAAAATTACTTAAATAATATTGAGTAAAATCTAATTGCTTTTATTATGAACCTGATATATACAAAAATTAATGAAATAAAACTAATAATCTAACGCCAAGTTAAGGCAAAATGAAATAAATATGTTGATACACGTTAGCTATTATAGTAAATCCATATATTCCTTTGTTTTTTTATAAACAAGTTACTGCTGGATTACTAATTAAAAAAAAGGTTGGTTTAAATAATAATCTTTATCATAATATATAGATTCCGTATGCAGGGTAAGCCCTTTTCGGAATTGCGATATATTTTTCAGCTTATAGTTTTTCCGGATATCCAACTTCTATGCCTGCAAGTTTGGGTGTAATATTTTAGATGTTTTAAAAAATATATTAATAACATTTAAAAGGTTTAGGTGCGATAGTGACATATTTTGAAGCTCTTCACTCAGTAAAATGAAAAGTTTAAAAAATAAAGAAACGACTCAGCTTAAAGCAAAATTAAGAGTAGAATATATTCCCAATATTTACCTAAACAATTTTACGGATTTTGAAAATTTGACATCGATTTTCTGCGCATATAAGTTAAGTCATTTTGTGGTTAACTTTATCTTTAATGAAGATAAGAGTTCTCTTAAACTAAGAAGCCAAGAAAAATAAAAGTGAGCTCAACTAAAAAAAATAAATAAATAAATTTATATTTCATTAGAGAAAGTAAATAAAGATTAAATTGACAGTAATAATTTATTTACTACTAACCCGTATTACGGGTTGCTTACTGTATAAATAAATTAATATTTTATTAGAGAAAGTAAATAAATATCAAATTGTTAATAATGATTTATATACTACTAACCCGTATTACGGGTTGTTTACAGCTAGTATACATTAATAACTTTGTTTTTTCTTATTTATATTTGTAAAAAATTTATTTTTACTTATTTTGTTGGTTTTATATTCTTTACTTAACGTATACGTTTATATAAAATATTGGTGAGTAGTACCGCATGATCTCTCTTTGGATTATATAATATATATTTGGATTCTGTTCTTGATACTGTTAATGCTTGTTTGAACTTATTTAAGGTTCCGACGACAAGATCTTTTGATCTTCTTTCAGATACCTTATTTTATATTTGTGAAAGTTTATTATTATTATCATTATTTATTTGTTTTTTGGCAACATATAGTTGTAATACGACCGACAAATGTAAAATTTAAAAAAAAAAAAAAAAATCTATCTAAGTATATTATATGTATATACATTAT